CCAAAAAAACTAAAGGCAATATATTGCCTTTTGTGACAGCATACCACCCAGGGGTTAAAAAATTTAAAACAAATACTGATGCAAGAATGGAACCTCATCCAAAATCAGCCACTGCTGAAAACAATTTACAAAACGCCTCCGATTATATCATACAAAAGAGGTAAATCGCTCAAAGACATACTCGTCAGAGCGAAGCTTTAATTAACGGCTTTTGCGTCGCAAACGTAAAACCACACAGGGGAGTCTGTGTAGGCCTGTCTATGACCTTTTCAAAGTCCCTTTGCATCTTAAGGGCGGCTGGGAAGCATTCCAAAGCTATTTTGTTGTTTTCAATGAGCTGGGTATCCTGTGACGTGTATACTCAATCATGCAATGGATTCGCGACTTTGATGTTAAAAATGATAATGATAATGATAACAATTATGATAATGATCAAATGATAATAAAAATATTACTACTAACACTAAAACTGATATCGGTAATAACTCTGATACTAATACTGGTAATGATAATGATGATAATAATGGTATTATTGCTGATGATGATAATGATTGTTATAATAAAAGTAACGATAATGGCCAATACAAAAGTTGTTTTCCTGGATTTTATTGCAAGTCAACAATAGCAATGATAACAACAAAAATAAACATCATCATCATCATCATAACAATCTAGAAGAAAATCTTATTATTTAGTTGCGTAATCATGATCATAAGTTTAAATACACAAGTAAATAACGCTCTTTCTCTTACTGAAAGCCTCTTTGGGATGGATTTGTGGGTCATTCTTCAACTATTTTCGAGAGGCATCGCCGTTTCACAAATAGTCGTTCACACGAGCCTTTCTTTTAAACAGGGCAATTTTCCGTGGAGATGGTCGTCGTTAGAATCTCTACGGGATCTAAATTTTACATCCGCGAGTGACGTGTGAGTTCCATTCTTTCGGTAATAATGTAATAAATTTATCTCGTATCGGTTGATACAAATGATATGCAATAAAGTCATCTGTCTGCCGCTGTGCTAGAGTGAAAGCATTACTATGAAGTTAAACAGTGTATTATTTGCTTTTTTTTGAAAAGCTAGTTTAGAATTCTACTTATTCCAGAAGACCTCTGACAACTTAGTTGTGTTTCATTCAAGTTCAGTTCTGCGTTGTTTGTTCATCTGCATGTATCTGTACCCATGATTGTGCTTAATTTCATTTAAGGACGCATCCTTGGCACATAAATGACCTAAACACCCTTTCTTTCCAATCAAGCATCTACAACACCTATTAGTTGTTTAAAAACGACTCCATATGGAAAATAGAAAACGGCAAAAACAACACAAACAAAAACAATCGATACATTGAAAAAGACTACCAAATGCTCGGCTGCGCGCGATCCACCTGACAAGAATATTAAAGCGAACTCTTAAGCTTTGGAAAGATGAATTTGAACCTCAGTTACAATCCTTTCTTATTCTTTGAAGTTATTAAGGCCTTGATGTATATCTGCAGGTGGTCATTTGGTATTGTCTTATGGGAAATCGCCACTTATGGTAAGTGTAGTCTGACGATACGTACGACTTAAAGTGATACCCTAACTACTACTAATCATGTTTTCGTCATGAGCTTCCTATCAGTGTCAGCAAGGCTCCTTATCTTTAGCTTGTTTTTAATACGAAGGTACTTGCGGATACAGTTGTCCTTTAAACCTTGAAACTGCTAGACAAACTTGGACAAGACCAGAGGGCCGCATGGTGTCCAGATAGGGAACGAGTCCTTGCTACACTCTTCTTTCCTTTGCTTATATCATTTGTCACAACTTTTAAACCTTCATTTATTGACTGAACCATATGAAGCCTTTTCAGATCTCTACTTTTTTCATGTATTTACTGATGAAATACTCATTCATTTTGCCTAAAAGCCCCTCTTTAAACTATAATTGGTAAATCATGTCTCCTTTCTGCCAACTAGGTGGTTTGCCATACCCCAACATCACATCACCGTTTGCCTTAGTAAGTCAACTTGCTACCGGATACCGGATGCCTCGTCCTGACCAATGCTCAGAAGAATTGTAAGCATCATAAGTTACATTAAGCTTATAGTGATAGTTGATATGTAGATTTCAAAATAATCGAGCCTCTACTTACGCTGTAAAAATATGATTAGCCATAGTTCCAGCCCATTTTTTTTTAGATGAATAGCTGGTTGCATGTCAAACTAAATGACAATTAACGTGTCAATGATCCTGTTTATAAGGTATAACATTAAGAAGACATCTCTTTGCACTCCTCTATAGGCTTCATGGGGTAAATTAATATGATAAAAGTCTTATTCGCAATAACACTTTTAGCATATAATACAGGATGTTTAATAATGCTTTATTGAATTTTTAGATATGAACTAATGAGTTCTTGCTGGAAAGAAAATCCTTTGATGAGACCAAAATTTTCTAAGATTGCAAGTCAACTGAAGAGTTTTTTGCGAGAAGTCAAGGTAATTAATATGATTGCACCAAAAGGTATCCATCTCTTCCCGTAGTTTCACCTCTCGTGATTATACATATCTGAGCTTATATCTGTCAGCAAGTGTGCCCTTTTTCAGCTAGTCAGTATATCTGCTCGACCTCCCTATCCGTCCATCCATTCATCCATTCATCCGTTCATCTATTCATCCATTCATCCGTTCATCTATTCATCCATTCATCTATTCATTTAACTATCCATTCATCCATCCAGAATCCATCCATTATATTCCATCTTTGCCCTTTCCTGACTTCACTCCCAACTTGATATTAATTCATATTCAACCAATGTTAACAATCCTATTCAATCTTCTTCAAAGTCAAGGGCTTATTCGTTATTCCTCTAATTCCTTGCAGAAAACATACATAAATATCACAGAGGACAGCAACGAAGAAGTTTGATGATGTTTTTTATGTTAAAGCAAACGCCTCGTCTTATTATATTAATAATAAGATGCCGAGTACATGCACTGCAATATCTCAAATAAGTAATGTAGAAACCTTTATAACCAAGCTTCAGAAAGTGCTTCTGTCCCTGGTGTGCCTGCTACGTAAAAAAAAAAAACAAAACTTAGAATTCAATTCATGGGCCAGTGCAAACTGCAATTAAAATAAAATATACAGTGCATCCTGCTTCACTAAAAAAGCTTAATTGATTTAAAATAATTGGAGTTACGTAATTAGAGTAGCTTTACATTGATTTTGAATTCCTGTAAGCACTGCGCCATGAGCTTTTCTTTGCGCGCGGAAAATCTGAGGCCTCGAGTAAAGCTAGCTGAGGAGACATCTAAACTTTTTTTTTTTTTTGCCTCACCCCTCGCAGATTTTTCATCGGTTCGCTTTGCTTGAGACCTCAGACTTTCCAGCAGACGAATAATCCCATGAGCTTCAGCGTTATTGATGAAGGACAGCTTGCAGGCTGTTTATTATCTGTCAAGATTAATCTGTCTGTGGCCGTCCATTGCATTCCCATTTGGTAATTGCCATCTAAGGTCAAAAGGTAACCCGGGATGGTACTCTCACTTAAAATAAACTGGCATGTTGTATTCCTTCGTTGTATGGAAGGTTCTCTCCCTTCTATTAAATAATTTTTCGGATGTTTGGCTTAAAGAAAAACGCAAAGTAAAACCTCCTTCTATGACCGACTGGTAGACCACGCACGAGTAAATAAATCTTAAATATGTGAACATCGTCTCGTTCTTTCACCTTTTTTGGAATCGTCCCAAAAACCGGACATACTTAATGAGCCTTTTCCCTGATTGCTTAACTGACGTTGTGTATATTGACCGCACATTGTCGTTGCTAGAGACCCTGTTAAATGCGCGCTAATTTGACAAGTGAAAAAGTCGCGTTCCTAACAAGTTTCGAAGGCTCACTAAGAGCTTTGGACTCAAAGGGCAGGTTATTTTGATAAAGTTAAGCCTTTTTTTAAATAGAACCTCGTTCGAAACTATTTTCAACTTAGCTGAACCTTTTATGCGCACAGCTATTTTTGTGAAAAGAGTCAAGAAGGCCGAAAGCTAACAGTGGAAGGACACCCATTTAATTAAATCAATCGTCCTGTAGAGAATATCTAAGACTTACTGCTTGTGTAAAACCATGGTTTGGTTTCGACCTTCTTTAGATAACCGGCCCAAGTGTCTCTCCACGTTTTCGACGGAATAGAGATCATTTTGATAAGAAAATATCACGGTATTGACCTGAAAGGTAGTTTGAAAACAAGAATAGATCTCATCTTTAAAACCGTCTTCTGTGCTGGGCTTTACTGAAGTATGGACAGCCATGTTACGGGTGCATATTGCACTAACCACTATCGACTAAGCTGTTTATCGTGGCGCGTTCTAAAACCAGTTAGATTGTAACACCGGAACTCCAGAATATGCCAGAATACCGCAATACACTTAAAAAAAAACAACAATGGTTAAGGCGGTGTACTGTGTACTTGGTTTAGTACATGCCGTTTATCAAAGCAGGTAATTTAGTGTTAACAACTGAGTTGAAAACGTAAATTGGCCACCGTTAAGAGTAAGAAGCTGGCGTTTCGAGCGTTAGCCCTTCGTCAGAGGGATTAACACTAAATTACCTGCTATACTCTCCCACCGACGCAGCACCACGTTTTCGTTAGAAACTTACCCCCTTTATTCGTTTATCAAAGCACTTTTTGAGACTCCGCACAAGATTACTTTGTAGGTCGCTGAGGTTTCTTTATGGAGGCGTTGACAAGGATTCTTTCTTCACCACAGTGCTTGCCAAAATTTGCTTACAAATTAAAATAATTTTGATGCGCAGGACCAAAAAAAGTTTTGGTTGAAGACTCCAAGGCTCATCATGAAACCCTGAAAACTGCTTCGTTTGCCTCGAAAACCGACATGGAATGAATAATGAAACTGTAAACATCAGGAACACCGGAACACGCTGAAACAGGCCGGAATACGCTGGAACACGCTGCAACACAGAAACACCGGAACACCAAAACACCGGAACACCTGAACAAGCTGGAACACCGCGAAGTATTTAAGTAATAATAACAATATAAAATAATAATAAAAATAATAATAACAATAATTATAATTATATTCATGTCGTTTATTAATCCAACGGGTTTTTTCGATAATCCGAGGCCTAGGGTATCTAACAGAAGCCGGACTGTTTCGGCTTTTTTTAATCAGTTCGACGCTGTCTCATGCTGACTGACACAAAAGGCCTCGATTTAACGCGAGAGCCTTGAATCTCGCTGGCTTGTGGATGCTGTGGAATAGACGTGGGTAAACTGCACCCACTCAATCGAACGAAAACCACCGATGAATTCAAAGTTTCAGTCTTTCGGGAAACATTTGAACTTTTGAAGATTGGCTTTTTCAATTTCTCCCAAAACTTCGTGCAAATTTCTTCGGCTAATCAAACTGACTAATAATAGTAGTTTACTATAGCTGTACAATTTCTCTCAATGCTACGCCCATGGAATCGTCTTTAGGCGTCTTGTTTTTTGGACTGCGGATGCACTCTGTCAAACAGTGAGATAACAGAACTTCGCACAAAATGGAAAACTGAGTTTTGGAAGAAACACAGCTGGTACCAGTTGTTTACGATTATCCTACAAGCAAAGCGTTTCCCCCCACTCAAATCACTCTTCAGCGTATACGCACATCTTCCTGTTTTTCACTCTAGTCCGCCAGAAACTTATTTATGAATTGGTCATAACAGCATAACAGCATTCTACAATTAGCTGACAAACAGGCTTAGCGAACCTGATCTTTGATGTTATCCATCCCTTGTAACCTATTTCATTTTCCTCAAACCACATCCGCTGAGTTGTATTCTATTAATAACAAAAATGCCGTTTCGTATTACGTTTCTCTTACTCAATAAAGTGTGCATAATTTTCTACACGACCTTAATTGACAACCTATGATTCCCATAGGTGGTATGTTAACAATTCTCACAGCTAAACCTAAAGGTAAGTGTATTCATTTTTCACATTATTTTAGTTTCCAATTGACGACTTCTTTTGCATTTCCGTTGCCAAAAGAGTTATCTTTTGAAGAAATTAATGAAAAGGAAAATGTTAATTTCGATCGTGGTGTTGTGAACAGCGAAGAAGAGCCATGTACAAACAATATATTTTTCAAAAGGATTTGCAGAACAATTTATCATTAAATTAAACTGTTTGATACAATTCGTTATATTACCAGGTTGTGATTCATAGGTGACGCTTAATTGCACTGTAGTTTTGAGAAATCTGGAGAGATTCTTGAACATAATTTTTAGACGTCTTGAATTTTGCTAATGGAAAATAGTCAAGGAAACATAAACTTGATGCAAAATGCTTTGATTCAAATTAAGTTTCTCCGTTTGTAAACAGGAAGATCGATCTCATCATTAGTTATGTCAGCTGTGTCTAACAGCTCTTGTAAATTTGAACACAAACTGAAATATGATGCGCCTCTTCCTTTCTCTCTCAGCGTATTATTTGGTATATTTGACCACTTGCATTGGGATAAGTTTTTTAGTACAGTGACCCATTTCCAAGAAACAAATTGGCTTTTTTTCCTATAAATGAACTATTTTGAAAATATACAAATTGATTCTATCAACTTCAATGTTCTTTTCGTTACTACGGTCGCCAAACGGAAGCCTGTGATAGATGGATAAAAAATAGAGGGTCAACTTTTGGCTTACATAACAATAATAACAAACATATGACCACCCTGAAAGCTACCAGAATATAGCGTTTCAGACAACGCAACTCTTGTAAAAAATCTTTCAATGATCGCTTACTTTATTTTGCTGGATATTCTATTAAGTATTCGGTTCTTCTAATCTCAATTTGTTCAATCTTAATCTGTGGTGGAACAGAACAATTATCTCAAATTCTTAAGGGCTTTTTTAACATTAACAATGCGGTTTCCTTATCGCACGATACACTAAAGTACAACTCAGTTTGTGGTCGAACTCATCTGAACTAATAAACAGGCTTCTAAAACCTTCTAAAAATACTAAAAGGATCATAAAAGAAAGCTCAGTACTATTTGTTAGACAGCTCTTATTTAAACCCGATCTAAACTAAGTATTATATCACATAACTTTAAGAGCATGCTAAGATCGTTTTCAGGCTCAAATCGCGCCCAAGAAAAAAAGATTAACATTTAAAAAAAATATTAAGCACGTATAAGCAACAAAAGCAAGTGTAAGTGACGAAATCAATACCGCATTGAAACGAAACTGTATGAAAATAAAAAAAAATATTTCTTTCATAGCAAAGTTCAGTACTGAGTTAATGATATTATAGTTCCACTTACCTCCTTGGTAATTTACTTTCTCCCAGAAAAGAACTCATTTTGAGGAAACAATCCCGGCCCACGATGGGTAACTTTTGTCTTAGAAAAGCGTCAACATGTTCAGTTCTTTTAACTCTTATGGGCGCGTTATGGAATCTGCCATTCAGCATCAGAGGCGAAACATGCGATTCCAATATAACAAGTAAGTAGTTTTAACTACTTTCAAACATTCCAAATGGGGCAGTAAGCAGTTAAACGTCCTGCTCTAAAAGGATGTTCATGCGAAAGTTTTTCTTGTGAGCACAATAACTGAACGTGAGTATGTACTGAAAATATAAAATGGTGCCAAACAAACAGCTCCTAGTCATGTGGAGGATCCAGAGAATGCAGGTGTCTTCATCAAAACGTTTAGCATGTGTAAATAAGGAAAACCGAATATGAACTCTTGACTGATCCAGCGTTTAAAAGCAGGACGTTTCGGCCCTCGGCCTTCTTCAGGTGGAACATAAAAGTTAAAAATTAAGATTAAAAAGCTGCATTAAAACTCTTGATCGGTCAAGAGTTTGTGAACTACACTAGCTAAATTTATAAGATAGATATATTAATAATCTTTCTCATTGTTGGATAGGCTATAAGGAAATTGTACATTATTCATATTTTTTAAAAAATTATTCAATCTCTCCAACCCAGTCAGACCCGTTGTGGACATCTCTTCAAGTCCAGAAAACAGCACATTAGCCATTGGTGTCTCCATTACCCTGAATTGTACAGCGCAGCCCAGAGCGATAGATATTGGATATAAGGATAGATGGGTCAAGTATATCGAGTGGTACGATCTACAGGGTAATGAAGTGGGATCTAAATGCCAGCAGCCTTCAAACAAACGTAAATTAAGCTGCCCATTAGTACTTAAAAATCTGACAGTTGACAAATTTGGCCGTTACACTTGCCAAGCGGGCAATGGTTACTCAAGCCACTGCACAAGGAAATCATTTGAAATCCAAGGTAAGCAACTTTCACACTTCCTAGGTTCTTTAATGCGAAGGTAGGCGCCGTTTTTTGGATTTGGAGGCAATGATGGAATATAGATGGATTTGTGTTTGAACAAGAAGCCACAAATGTAATAAAAAGTGTCTAAGAAACTCCTTGAATGTATGGACAGGCAAGTCCAATATATAATTTCTCTCCGTTGGAAAATTCCGCATAGCTCTTCAAAGTTCTTTCTGATGGTTTTGCTACAAAAATAAAGAATAAATTTGAATAAGGACCAATAATTATTGGCCCAATGAATTCTTATTAAGTACTTGATATGAGGAGCTGATTATATTCCTGAAGTGATCAGTGATCTTAATTAATGGATCTCTTGAGTCCCGATATTTTCTCTACGTTGTGAATGAAAGGAAAGTTTTGCATCGTGAGCAACTGCATTCGAAAGTTCCAGGTTGGTCACTGGTTTGAAATGAACTTTTGTCTAAAGAGTTGCCTATGTTTTTGTCGGGACTCAAGAGATCGATCCATAAAGATCAATGATCACTTCACGTACATCTCTGCTAGTGTCACCAATTGAATAACTCGCTCTTGCTGCAAAAAGTTATACATTGGTGAAACAGGAAGACGACTAGATGACCGATTCCGAGGACACCTTCACGACGTTGAAAGAAGTGAAAAGGACGCATCTAAACCAGTCGCTAGACACTTATATCTCGCTAGCCATTCTGAGGAGCATATGGCTGTTTGCGGCCTTTCCCTACATTTAGGCAGTTCGGAAAACCGTAAAACTCGAGAACATGGTATCAACGTGCGATTTTCGTTCAACTAATTTCTTCTTTCTTTCTCGTCACCATATTCTCACCAATAACGTAGTTCCATTTTCTGCATATAAGCACACACAACCCACAATTCCTCCGATCTCTATGACGAAGGGCTAACGCTCGAAACGTCAGCTTTTAAACTCTTTACGATGGCCAATTTACGTTATCAACTCAGTTGATAATACTTTATTACCCTGACATACTCTCTCACCGACGCAGCACCACAGTTTCTTTAGAAACTTACCCCCTCTATTCATATGCCTGACATACTTCCCTCTGAGCACGAGAATATGGTCATAAAAATTGTGGCATGCGTAAGTCTCAAAGGAAGTTATCTTCTTGTCTGGCACAAAAATTTAATAATTCTAACATCACCTAAAGTCAGTCTCTTACTATAATTGGATTAACTCCAAACCGGATGATCTCGATAATAACAAGTATATTCATTGCAAAGTATTTTTCCCTACAGTCCATGCGCCAGAGTTAATAGGAGTTCCTCGGAACCAAAGTGCTGATATAGGGGCCAATGTAACTTTCAACTGCACTGCCACAGGTCTTACTACGCCAAGCATCTCATGGATCAAAAACAATGATTCATTTGCCTTACAATCCAACCCAAGGGTGACATTCATTAACGATCCACTGGACGACAAAAGTACGCAAAGCCACTTGTTTATTACAAGAGTAAAGGAAGAAGATTTTGGCAAATATCAGTGTGAGGCAAAAAACAGCGGTGATAAGAATTTGTCTTTGCCGGCTTTTTTAACCCCGAAAGTTTCAGGTTAGACATTCATATGCATTAGTGTTTGTTTCCCTTATCATTTCAAAGTTGAAACTCCACGAAGTCTTCCACTTGCATGCCAACTCAGTCATCCAATTGAAATTTTCCCAACACCAAGTAGGCGACATAAGCTCGGTTTTTGGATGACTGCTTTTTGGTGTACATTTCCGTAGATTGTAAAAAAATTCTCCATGTCATTAGAGTATAATGTATCTTAATACAAAATTTTAAATTTATCATTTCAGTTTCACCCGGTCCCTGTACCTCCTCGTCTTCCTATCATCAAGACTCCCCTTAAAGTTTAATTCTCTTCAAACCGGGTCTTTCGAATGGCAAAAAAGCCTTGGGCCCCGACATCCCAAAGAAAGATCACAAATGAGACAAATCCAAGAGGAAAAAATAGGATCTCAACGACGGTTCCTGCAATTAATTGACTCTTGAATAAAATCTCGATGGCCTAAATTGTAAATTCCTTTTTCATCCTCCACAATTCTTTCCTATTCTTCTTCTTCCTCGTATTTCTCCTTTTTTTTTCCCTTTTTTCAATTTATACATCTGACTTATTACACTTATTAAGATCATCATCATCACTATTATTATTATCGTTGTCGTCGTCATCATTATAATTGTTGTTTGTATCATTATTACAAATGATTTTCTTCCTCTGCTTGAGATTTAAGACTGCAGACTCAAAATAAATTGTTATTTTTTCATTTATTATTCGTAGCTACAACTCATACTTTCGTATTCGTCAAGGAAGGAGCGCCAGAAAATTCAGCATCTCAGATAACTATAGTCGCTGTATCATGCACTTTGGTAGCTGCAGTTATTTGTGTGGTCACTGGGTTTGTGTGGAATCGGCGTAAAAATTGTGATAAGGAGGTAAATGATACGTTAGATGACATCCGCACACAGGGTAATGATCTCCTCTGACCGTCATGGAAGGGAAAAGAATTCGTAAAAATAAGAACAATGACAACTTCTCTAGACTCTGCATCTCGCCTTACAATAACAAAGATCGACACGCCAAAAACTTGCCCCGTCTGAAAACTGGTCAATCCCAGCATTCCTTCCGACGCCAGGATAAGCAAACTTGCGTATGATAAATTTCGTCAGCTCTGCTTCACTTAGCAAAAGTCTGCCTCTATGATGTGCCAAGGCTAAAGAAAACGCCCATTTCTTTCCTTACTTCATCGCTTCCAAGTTCTCCTGCCCTCCACTTCGTGAATATCTCATACAGAAGCATGCAGTGGCTTGCGCGACCCATTTTCACTGGGTTTATGGAGCAGTTCAATCTGAAAAAGAGCTATATTCCTTACTTACATATCTTAATTTTACCAATTTTGAATGTCATCGTAATAAAAAATGTTGCAGCGATTTCGGCCAGCTTTGTTTCCTTCCGTATTAAACAAACGCTATTTAATACGCGTAAGACTAGTAAATCAAAGTTCGAGATATTTCATTTCTATGAAGAATTTTGAAAGGATCTCTAACAAATGATTTTGATGATAAAGGCTAAACACGCTTTTTTTTAGATATCACAATTAACTTTTCTCTTCGATTAAATGACAGGCACGAAAACGTACAACAAAAGTATGCTTGGAAAAGGCCAAACATTTGATAAACACGATATATGACCTTGAAAACAATTGTTCTCCCAATACCCAAGCCATTGAGACCCCCGAGGAAAGGCTCCTGTTACTGGGGTACGGATTAGGGGACAGAAGTCCTCCAGACGGAAGCGAGCAGGGTGATTCTACACAGGATGTAACAGAAAATGGTCGAGAGAGATTAGAATCGGGTGGGAAGATTGCTGGTGGTGATATTTTCACTGCTGATAAAGGTGTTGACCTGAATGCTGACGAACAGCGCGATTGGAGAGAAATATCTCAAGAGACCGAAGAAAGATGCGTAAACTTGGAAAATCTTGAAGTCTGCAATGAAATACTCGGAGAGGGCGAATTTGGGATCGTCTACAAAGGGCGCTACGGTGGAAAAGACGGAAATATGATAGATGTAGCTGTTAAGAAGCTAAAAGGTGGGTACACGAGATCGAAATGTCCACTTGTTAATTCCTAAGAACAGTGGTATGCTTTTGAACTAATATTTCTTTGGAAGCTATGCGCCATCTTACTATTTTCAGCATTTTTCTTTTGATGGAAAACACTCATAAAGTCTGCTATTGTCTCCTTTGAACGCTTTCTACAGCCTTAATCAAGCCGCTTTTCCCATACATTATTTTGTTACCATAGCCAGATACGGCGAGCGAACTTCGTAAACTGAAGAAAGTTAAGAAGTCCTTTTGTTTTCTTCTCTATGTCATTTTGAGACCCTAGTGCCATTGCCAAAGAAACCCTGCTTAATGAAATAAGGACCTTAAAGAAAACTGGGAAACATCCTAATATTGTCACTTTGATTGGCACACGGATAGAGAGAGGTAAGTCAGTTTTCGACGATGTAACGTATTAGAAATAGACGTGTTTACTTGGTGATTCACCGTCCAACAAGGTAACATTTCGGCCGCATGGGTGTGTAGAACAGTACACGAACTGATCTCATGATTATAGGCAACAAGTCCACTTCATATGCACTATGTCAAAAATTTGTTCTTCTTGATCGGAAACAATTCGAATTTTTCTAGTGTTTTCTTGGGGATCCCTCTTCCTCCCGCCAACTTAACTAAAGAGGAAATAATGTCCCATCACTTTTTCTTGTCAAATCTTGTGTGTTTGCTCTATCCTTTCTAGGAAAAATTCTTCTAGTCACTGAATTGATTCGTGGTGAAAGCCTGGAAAATCTCTTGAAGGCTGAGAGGGCTCCTGCGGAAAGGAACAATTATCAAAACGTCCGGTGTAAGCTGAATGACCGGCAGTTGGTTACAATTGCACTTCAGATCGCCGAAGGAATGCAGCACTTAGAAGAAAGAAAGGTGACACCTGTTGACTGTGAAGTTAAATTTGCTAACCTGTCGTTAGAGAAGGCTGCTCTAAATATAGTACAGGCAGTTCGAAGCATGAAAAATATTTTTTGTGTCTTTTTTTATAAACTTTTAGAGCGAAAGTAACTTTCTGAGAAAATCCAGGCGGGAAACTATACGAATTTAACATCTTTGGCCATTTCCTACAGCCAAGTAAGGAATGACTGCCCAGCACATTTGGAATTGAAGTTTGAAGTCTTGCCAAAAGTGTCAGGATTTTATGAACTTTGCCCATAAATTTTTACCATAGCGTAAGCACAGGTTGTAAAGTGAGGGTACAAATCACTCACCCCATTATTCGTGAGCGTCTTTAAAGAAACAAATGTGTAACTTGTCCTCTCTAACAGTTTGTTCATCGCGATCTAGCAGCCAGGAATGTTTTAGTTGATGCCAACCTGGTGGCTAAAGTTGGAGACTTTGGATTAGCCAGGGACATATCCGCTGCTGGTATATACACAGTGACCTCCAGCAAGGGGGTAAGTTTCTCAAGAAACTGTGGTGCTGCGTCGGTGGGGAGAGTCAAGATAATTTGGTTTTATCAACTGAGTTGATAGTGTAAATTGACTACTGTAAAGAGTGCAAAAGCTGACGCTTCGAGCGTTACCCTTCCGTCAGGCCAATCTCTCTGACGAAGGGCAAACGCTCGAAACGTCAGCTTTTAAACTCTTTACGGTGGCCCAATTTCATTTTCAACTCATTTGATCAACCAAATTAAACACATAAACGAACTTAAAAGCATTTGAATTGATACCCTTCCATAGTAAAGTCGGAGACGATAAATTTATTCCTTCTAACGTTATAATTCAAATGAAACTCCAAACGAGCTGTGTTTTATGTGACGCGTTTACTTAATTAACCCTGGTCTCGTGTCTGTACCGATAATAATGACGATAACAATAGTAAGGATAGAAATAATAAAATCCACGATAACCATCACCCTGGATTTTACTGGAATCAATAATTGTTAAAAACTGATATATATCTCAACGTTCAACGTTCAGTGGAAAATACGTCGCTTATACTTATTGAATGCATCTTTCAGTTTCGTGAATCCAACCTCTTCCCAGTTTCAAGCGACATTGCCTGAACTACAGACAGGAGCTTGCTCACGTGAATCAATCTTTTCAACAGGGCAAGGTTGCGTGGAGATGGTCGTCGTTAGAATCTCTGCGGGATCTGCATTTTACATCCATGAGTGATGTGTAAGTTTCAATTTGTAGTTAATAATGTCAGAGATCTGTCTCTTGACTTTGAGTCGCAAGTATTGACTGGCGAAAGAAAAAGAAAAAAACACGTGTGCCCTACGCTCTGCTATTTTCCTTGGAGCGTTATTATCATGGTTACATCTGGGCTTCATTTTTCGTTGTTTACTCGTTTTTATGTATATGCATGGTGTATCTATGTCTATTTGCATTTGTGGACACACCATGAGAACTTAACATAACTAAAGTAATTCCTTCCTTCAAATCGAGGATCATATGCTCATATTAGTTGATTAAAATAATTATATATATCAGAAGCGAGGTTCACATGACAGGAGAGACTCAGCGAAGTCTTAAGCGATGTATATTTCCATTAAACAATCAAAAAATACAACGAGGCTCGATCCTTGATCAATTCCGTGCTAGTTGTTCCTTATTCATTGACGTTATACAGGCCTTGGTGCATATTTGCAGGTGGTCATTTGGTATCGTTCTATGGGAAATCGCCACTCATGGTAAGTGCAGCGTGATACTATGTACTACTTAGAACGACATCCTGAGAACTATAAATCATGCTTTCGTCAGGAGTTAGGCTCCTATCCGTTACAGCAGCCTACAGTTAGCGAGTAAGCTAACTTTCATGGTGATGATCCATATGGACAAACGCATCTTCATTTAAAGAAATGATTGTTGCTTGAAAGACGAAATTGAAAAAAATCGGGGGACCACTTTATGGTGTCTTGGTATGGGCTGTGTGCATGCTAAACCTTCTCTTTTCATTCATACGTGCTTCGTCTTGTTTGTCACAGCGCTTAATTTTTGTTTATCTCACTGAGCCTCATGAAGTCCTTGCAAGTCTCCATTATTACGTAAATTTACCACTGAAATACTCTTTGCCTTAAAGTCACTTCTTTAAACCTAGATTTTCTAAGGTCATATCTTCTGCTTTTCAAACAGGTGAGTTGCCATACCCATACCCTGACATCACATCTCCAATTGCCCTAGTAAGTCGACTGGCTACGGGATACAGGATGCCTCGTCCCGATCAATGCTATGGAGAATTGTAAGCTTCAAAGTCTTGTATAAAGCCAACAGAAAATAAATTGAGCTATTGATTATATTGTAGAATGCTTCAAATGAAAGAACGTCTACTTGCCTTCTTTCTAGAAATAATTTCAATGCGTTCTGCCTTCGATCCAAGTTTTGGAAGATCAAGGCTCTGACATCCTTTTTTTCTTGTCGAAAATCGAAACAATGCATCGAATCATGTCATTCGTTCTGATTTAAAAAGTTTTTGCGTGTCAAGTCAAATCTCACAAGTCAGTCATCTCCCCAGTAAGCTCTATCATCAGTTCGTGCAAGGTCACCACTTTGCGCCCCTTTTTACACTTGGTATGGTCATTTTAGATACTGAAAGCATTAGCTGCAAGACAATGTTAACTAGAACTATATTGAATTTTTAGATATGAGCTAATGAGCTCTTGTTGGAAAGAAAATCCATTGATGAGACCAGCCTTTTCAGAGATCGCTCAACAGCTGCAAAATATTTTGCGAGAAGTGAAGGTAATCAACCTGAAACAAGCTAAGCTACCCAAATTGTATTTCCTGTAGTTCTCTTATTGTGTCTGAGTTATCTAGTTTTCTGTCCGAATTAGAAAGAAAACATTTTCCATTCGAACGAAGTTGGCGAGGGAGAGTGGATTTAATGGCTGTATCCATCTTTTTCCCTCCTTTCGTCCTTTTCCAGTCCATAGATCCTTCTGTCACCCAATCAGTCCTTCGGGTAAACCTCTTATTTTTAACTGCAGCCATCCATCCATTTGTACACATAGTCATCCATCCGTTTGCTTTTTCGTTCATCCACCTGGGCGTACATTCGTTTCTTCTTTTGCTTGTTCCAAAGTTCATTCTTTACTTTGGTATTAATTCATATACACCATTATTTCTATCCTCATTCATCATTTTTTAGTGTTAATAATCAATAGATGATATCTTTATTCCTATTATTTATTTCAGAGGACATATACAAATATCAACGATGGAGAAGCCTGATGACGCTCTTATGCCGAAGCAAAAAACTCACTCGATTTGATTATCAATATAAAAACAACCACGATATCTCAAATAAGTGCATAAATGTACTGAGGCCCGATGATTATGCTTATGAAATCTGTGTGACCCAGATGCTGTCGCTGACTAGGCTCCAAAATTTCGAATTCAAATATTTGTCTCCCTGTTAGTGAAGGTTTCGCAATTATGTAAGGAAAATTGGAGCAAAGAATAGACGTTGCTACCTGTGCTATGTCAATGAATTATTTGTTCTCAATTTGTATAGGAAGCACTTCTTTTGAAATGTTCTATAGTTGTAAGGCACTTCCGAGAAATTTCATTGGACTAACGTTAATTAAGTCTCATTTGTATATCATCGCAAATTTGCCTTTTAACTAAGGTGCGTGGTTAGGGTCCCCAACACTTAAAGACGCTTATATTAGAGAGCAAATAGCCTGTTATAACCTGAGACATGTAGAATCAAGTTTTAATACCTTCTATGGCTTCGAATAATGATTTTAGCTCTGTAAACGATGCCTGACAGCTATCGAAACTCTAAACTGTAGGAAAGAAGTTAAGTTCAACAGATGTATAACTTAAGCTAAGTTCAACAGATGTATAACGTAAAGATTCAGTTATTAGGCAATTTTCGGATAAGAAAGGCATATCAAATTAAGAATTACGGCTACAGCATGCGAGGTAGGTGTATTTTTTGGCCAGCAAGCGTTCAGTTTCCTTTTAAGTAAAGTTCAAGTTGATCGCTAACGTGGATTTCAAAACCAGATGGAGTTTGTATAAAAAGACAATTCATTTTACTTTTCAGGGAAGAGGTGAGGGGATCTAATGGAAAGACATTCGGAAAGAGGAGTCTAGGGGAAGGGATAGAGTCTTGAGCCACTTTCTAACATCATTTTCGGGCTCGTGTAACTTTGTTGTCTTTGAAAAATTTAGTAGTACTTACAAGCAACAAAGTGCACGAGAAATCATGTTGTTCGCTATACTAACATTGCAGTATGTTTGATTGTAGATCAGCCGCATCTTTTCCTTTCCTGTATTCACTGTTTTTAAATAAAGAATATGTGTTTACGCAAACTTTACTGCGCGAAGATGAAACTATTCACATCTTGGAGAAGGTCTTTACTAAGACTCCAAGGAACCAGTTATTCTTCTCGAACAAAATTCTTCAATAAAGTCCCTAAAGTCAAGTCAAAACCAAAACGAAGTTGATTACAAGATCTCGAAAAAAAAATGATTCCAGGACTAAGCATTAAAAGTGCAAGAAAATGTTCGTGTCTCGTGCTACAAGACGAAATTATGGTTTGGCCTAAATAATTATTTAAAACTGATTTAAAGAAGAAAAACGAAACGGTTAAAATAATATCATACGAACTCTTAAACAAAGGAAAAGTTAATTCTTTAAATCACTCTTCTTTTGGAAACCCGTATCTTTTCCATGTAATCGCGAATGTAACAAGTAACAATTACTTTGTGAGAGTAGAAATATAGACTTTACCTGGTACCAACGTAATCTTGAATTAGGTCCAGTATTTCCAGTCCTTTAGACGCACTATTGCGGTAACCTTCTTCCCCCTAAGACATTGCAAAATTGAAAATAGACTAAACAATGGAATACTGAATCTTAGAGAACAAACAAATGATGACTCTGGTAATGTTCCCTTAAAAAAAAAATTATAGCAATAAAAAACTAAAAAATATGCTGATTATGGTAGCATTGCTCCTTTGTAACAAAATGCAAAAATTATGCTCGTTTTCCAAATCACGCCAAAAATTACGCTTGCCTAATGTTTAAGGGCCTATGACCTATAAAAATGTTCTCACTTATATCTGTGCATATTTATACGCGGCGCCTATGTCTCGGGGACCAGAGACCGTGCGAGGGCAAAAAACAAAATAAAAAAGGCTTGGCTGCACTCTGTTCTGTGTCTAGAGCACTCAAGAAGTACAGAGAAGCAATCAACTGCGTCTCGTATTTTCCCTATATTTCGTTCGTTCTCTAGCTGCTCCCTAACAGGATTCTTAAACTGTTAATTAAAGGAGGTAATTAAGTGTTAACAACTGAGTTGAAAACGTAAATTAGCCACCGTAAAGGGTAATCGCTCTGACGAAGGGCTAACGCTCGAAACGTCAACTTTTTTACCCTTAACGGTGGCTAATTAATGTTTTCAACTCAGTTGTTAACACTAAATTACCTGCTATACTCTCCCACCGACGCAGCGGCCACAGTTTCTCTAGAAACTTACCCCTTTGTTAATTAAAGGCATGCTTATCGCAAAGATATATTTTCAGCATTTTTTTAGCACTTGAGTCTATATGCTCTTTGACTCTTATCTTCAGAATCTAGCTATACGTATACGGTCACCGCTGAAGATGTATGGTAAAGAATGACCAATGATGATATGCACATTTGTTCTTGTACTGCTTGCTCCACCGTCCTTTGTTCCAGTTTTCCACCGTCCTTTGTTCTAGTTTTCCACCTTCGTTTTACACTACAACATTGTGCGCTTGCGTATTACACGTGTCCGCCATCATGGACATCTCATCTTGGTTTGAAGATGTGAGACGAATGAATAAAAGACAGGTTGTACACCGGTTTAAATACGATTTCAGTATATGATTCTTGTAGAAGAATGTTTTATGTTCTAACAAACCGATTTTCAATCCCCAGCTCTTTTATCAAGGTCTGAATTTTGCCATGATAGTGTCATCTGCTCTCATGATCTGGAAAGGATTGATGGTAGTTACGGGCAGTGAGAGTCCTATAGTTGTAGTTTTGAGGTAAATAATTGAAAAAAATAACTCGTGAGAAACATTTTCTATTTTACCACAATATTGTGTTTTAGAATTTTGAAGCATTTGATGATACTGAAGTTTTTGTTTAATTTTCAGTGGAAGCATGGAGCCTGCTTTTCAGCGCGGCGACCTTTTGTTTCTTACCAATAAAGAAGATCCGATTCGTGTCGGAGAAATCGTTGTATTTAAAGTTGAAGGGCGCGAAATACCTATCGTTCACCGAGTCTTAAAGATACACGAAAAGTGAGTGTGGAGCTTTACCTCTTCTCTTAATTTCATCAATATTCTGAACGTGAAGTACTTGGCTTCCATTTGAATTCTAATCTCTAAAGTGGGTTCTAACAATCTTTACTGTGCTTATAGTATCGAAGGCTTTCACTTTTTATTGGAACAGTCTTAACGATTGTAGTCTAGTGTTGTCTCTGCTAATAGAAATTACATGGCTGGATTGAGTGCTCATTTGAAAATCACAGAGTCCTTCAACAGTTAATGAGAGATATACCCTTGGACCTAAATTGTACAAAGCACTGTTTTTCCTGCTGATTTACCACTTATGTTTTTTCTTTAGCATGTTTTACAATAATTATGCTACACTTTGTCATGGTATATCAGAAGGTAGCTTGCCTGAGAAATTTATTTTTCTGGTACACACTTTCCTTCAAGGCATATGTGTATACTGAAAAAAATGTATTTGCTTCACAGGATATTCCGTGGTAATTTTCTTGAAAGTGTTCTATGATTAGTATGTATGTTATTTTACCACAATAGGCAGTAATGTGGCAATCTGACAGCCCAATTTGCTGTTGTTGATAAGAGTAGAGACAATATGCTGCTGGCATCAATGTGTCACACAATACCTTTGTCACTGAAAGAGTCATTTGAATGAACATCAAAATTGTGGTAAAAAACAACTCAACAGACTTAGCGTGGTCTGTACTCTCAACAAAAATGATATTTGTCATCCAGTGGTCAAAATTTTTTGTGGACTCACTCTGCTGCGCCTCGTAAGTCCACAACATTTTGACCACTGTGATGACACATATTATTATGGATAAAACTACAGATCAAGCTAAACTACATGTACTGTCCAGTTGTTGATTTTACACTGCATATTACATTACTCAGAATCTCTCTTTTTGCTAGAGGTGCATCTTAATGGGTATCTTTAAATTTTGAAGTTTCCAACATTAACTTGTTGGCTTGAGAATGTGCAGATTCTTACATTGGATATTTTGATATTAAATGATACTTCCTGTTTATTTTTTTTTTATTCCACATGGCATATTCATTGTGCATTTAACCCTTTAATTCCCAGATCAAATTTGTAGTTCTCCTTACTGCCAACAATACAAATCTTATAATGTTAGTTCAGAGAATCTAGTATTGAATCAACTAATTATCCCCAAATTGATATTTTTCTTTATTCTCATCACGTATCAGGTTGATATTGTATTGATATTGTAAGGAGAAATTCTGTCTTGGTCACTCATGGGATTTAAAGGGTTAATTTAACTATTATTTATTCTATAATACCTTGTCTAAAATTAACTCTTCTCTTAAATTCGTAAGCCCTAATTTGTACGTGGAACTGCTAAGGCAGATTTAGCCTCTAGTTATTTGTATGCAAGAACTTTGAAATCATTGTAACTGGAATGAATATTTCTTTTCAGAGAGGATGGTGCTATCAAATTTTTAACAAAAGGTGACAATAACTCAGTGGATGATCGAGGGCTCTATGCTCCTGGACAATTGTGGTTAGAGAAAAAAGATGTTGTTGGGCGAGCAAGGGGGTAAGATGCACAGTTGTATTTGTTTTTCCTGTATATTAAATCAGGGGTTAAAACTGTCAATATCAGATTTTTTTCTGGGAGCACTGTCCTGACAGTCAAATATGATGGAAATAATATAAATTTTAAAGGGAAAATGCAGTGACAAGTACTAAATTCCTGTCCCAGAGAGGTGTTAACTTTTTTTTTAGAAAGTAAAGGTGTGAAAAGATAGCAGCTGAGTTTTAAAGCTTGAGGGGATTGTGTTTTGTTTGTTTGTTTTTTCTTTTTTTCACATATAGCACAGAATCTAAGACTACTTAATTCTAGTGTGCTTCACTTCTTTCAAACTGTCCCCTTGTTAATCTCTAATTGAGACAAATGATTGGTCTACTTACCTATAAAGTTTCTTTCCTTTGAGGCCACTTAATATATCAGTGATTTACTTCACCAAACCAGAAAAGAAAAAACTTACAGATTACCATGACTTATTCATTTAGCTCTTAGTGAAATGAATTAACATGTAATAAACATTTTTTTCAACAACACATACACCATGTCACTCTCTAGGTTTTGGTCAAATGGGTGACCCCTAGTACAGGTGTAATTTACATGTACATTCAGCTGGAAATAGGAAGTGGTGTAACTTTTGTAATAATTATTACATTTTGAATTTTAAGCCACTAGAGGGTTTCTTATGTGTGTTTTTTGTTTTGTTTTGCTTTTTATTTGTTTTGTTTATTTAATTTTTTTGTTATTTGAAAAGAGTACTTGATTAAAATTTACTAGTCTGAGTATTTTTTTTTCTTTTTCAGGTTTGTCCCTTATGTTGGCATGGTAACAATTCTCATGAATGACTATCCAAAATTTAAAGTAAGTCCTAGATTATTGCACAGTGTTACAAAGAAATTTTTTTTATTTTTCACTTTTAAGTGGTGACTTCAGAGGAGTTTTTCAGCCTCTGGGGACTTAGTTCTCATTCGGATTGAAAGAAAATACATCATTTAGTTTTTTTTTTTTTGTTATCATAGTTTGTTGTTGTTGTATTTTATTTTGGTGGGCTAATTCCATCATATCCGTGAAAATACTTCAACATAGTGTTATTGTTTTGGGATTAATTTTGGTTATTATGCACTGTAAGAAATCCATAACAACTATTTGAATAGATGATTGATGTGCTCTCCTCTTTTGTTTTTTAGTATGCCATTCTTGCTGGATTAGGTGCATTTGTTCTTTTACACAGAGAATGATGGAAAGGATTACAAGAAAAATAGTGAGAAAACCCAAACAGTAGAAGGCCTAGATTTCCTTCCCCTTTAAACATCTTTTAAATCTTTTAATTTCCAAGATTTGATTATTAATTCTCTTCTCTCACTGCTATACATTTACTTGTAAATTACTAGTAGTTACAAGAATTTGGTCGTAGATTGAGTTGGTATCTTCTACCTGATAATGTTGAATATTCTCATTACTAGTTTGCTGGATAATGTTGGGATATTATAGGGAGAAGGTTCTTGTCAATCGCCTCTAGGATTTACAATGATTAGATGTAAGAGTAAAGAGTTAGACCATAGATCACTGTTTAAGTTGACAAAAAAACTATCGTCACAGATATTTCGATGCGAGATTAATTTTCCTGTTCCATGCATGGCAATAACATCATTTAGGGCATGTTTGTACTAGCTGTTCAAACAGCTTTTAGTGGCCAGTTACCAGTCACATGCATATATTATGTCAAGCACTCTAACAGTTCATTTTTTTGCAAACCCTATTAGTTAACCCTATTTATGAACATAAATAAACAGGTTGACTTTATCAATGGTCTTTCAGACTTTCTTAAGGTTTCTGGTTCATTTTATTATTGCATTATGAAGGGAGAAAACAAACCCCATGGTTGGCAGAGTGGCGGCCCACAAAGTGCTGTGTGTTTTTCTTGTGCTGCTCTGTCATGGTTTTGGTTTAACCCTTTCAATCCCAAGATCTTATTAGTAATTCTCCTTAATGGCTGCCATACAATTCCTATGATTTTAGTTCTGAGGATTTGTTATTAGATCAACTAATAATCCCCTACTTTATGCTTCTCTTTGTTCTCATCCCTTGTCTGCTTGATATTGTATGGATATTGTGAGGAAAAATTCTGTCTTGGTCACTCATGGGAGTTAAAGGTTTAAAGAGAAAGCAGGCAAAAATGCTCAGAGGAGGTTGGGGGAAGAGTTATGAGATCACCTCCTTCGTTTCCTTGGATTTTTTATGAAATGTGCTTTTTTGTCATTTTCATAGACTGAGTTTGTAACAGGTAATTTAGTGTTAACAACTAAGTTGAAAATGTAAATTAGCCACTGTAAAGGGTAAAAAAGCTGACGTTTCGAATGTCAGCCCTTCATCAGAGTGAAGGTTAACAGGCTAACAGGCTACTGTTCTTTTATCCACAATGACACATGTGCAAACTGGGCATATTGCTGCCTGAGCATGTAGGCTCACATTGAATTCATTATGGGTTAGGTCTCCATAGCTGGCTTAACCAATCCCTTGAGAAAATTTATGCTAGAGTATCAGTTATATTACTTCCTCTTGCATAAATTTATGTTCAAATGTAATGTGATATTTTTATGGTACAGTACTAAGTTCTTGAGAGCTCTTATGTAGATTGCTAGCTTAGTCAGGGCAACCTAATTAATTTGCTCCTTCAGTCATACAAAGAAAAGGATTCCATGTTGCTGTGCATCTGTTCAATCATAGATCTGAGTATGTGTCGGATCAGAGTCTCTGTCACATCATTGATACACTCAACTTCCCATCATGTGCCACTTTTTTTGTTCTTACGGCATTTTTGTCATCTTTGATCTGTAACTGAACAGGTACATGGCAACACAGAATCTGTTTGTTAAATGACTCGCATGTCAATATCAAAACCTGAAGAAAGGAACTTAAAAAATCTGATTATTATGGTGGACAGTTATAGATGACAATTTTTTTAAAATTTATTATTATATTATTATTATTATTATTATTATTATTATTATTATTATTATTATTATTATTATTTTTGAAGAGCAAAACACAAGTGAAAGAAGTATGCTTGGTCATTATGACATCTCTTTTTCAAGGAAGTATAGCCTTACCAGGCTTTCCTTCAGAAGAAACAAGCCAGAAAAGCAGATGGGGACTTGTTAAAAAAAAAAAACATGCAATTGTTTCTCAGACAATCTCGGTCGCTGTTCGTCGTTAGCCCGCTCTTTCACATACCTCCGCGACCGAGGGCCTACAAAAGGCTAAAAAGATATTGAAAAATGGTGGAAACATTTTTTGATGTAATTTTCCGGTAGCCACTTGTGGCAAACTGTAAATCAGGCTACCTCTTGCTTCCAATTACCCTCTTTGTCTCTCTGAGTCAAATTACCTTTGTTGCAGACGTAATATCGTTTGAACAGTCTCGGTATATGCTTTGTAAATACATGGTGTCGTGGATAACATCAGTGGAAAAATGGCAGTTAAAGAATCCAGGAAAAGTTATAAGTTCAACTTCCAGGCCTTAGAAGCATTTAAGTACATTGCAAGATTTAAGAACATTGCAAGAATAAAATAAACTATCGTGATCACCACGTTCGTTTCTGCGCTTTGTCTTTGTCCTTGCAAAGAGTAGCATTAAAAAAGAGAAAAATAAAGAGGTTAAGTTTCTAAAGAAACTATGGTGCTGCGTCGGTGGAAGAGTATAACAGAGTAATTTGGTATTATTAACTGAGTTGATAGCGTAAATTGACCATTGAGAAGAGTTTCAAAGCTGACGTTCCGAGCGTTAGCCCTTCGTCAGAGCCAACAAAATGAAAAAAAAAAGGAAAACAAAAGGTTGTGAAGGGGTAATCCTCATCTCCTTTCGATTGATTGAAGTCCCCCTCCATCTCTACTCTTGCTTTGTCTTCAAATTGTGTATTCTAAATGATTGAAAATCTAAAATGGGCGCTCAGGGATATTCCGAAAGCAAAGAAAGGAAAGAAGCGTTAAGCGAATAGATGAGAAATAAACTGAAAATAAAATGAGAATCTCATTTACCTTGCAACCCAAATATGGCATTCCTAGCCTTATTTGGAAGGAGAGGTTTCTGCATGTTCCGGGAAGCGTGGTAGCCTCGAGGAGTGCGCGCTGTTTTCTTCGCTTTTCTTTTGTTTTCTTTCCGTTTTTACAACTTTACTGCGAAAGAATTGGCAAAACTAAGGTGATAACTCAACTAATCCATTCGAAATCTTCAACGCTGCGAGTGCAAGCGTAACTCTGCCGAATATCTACGTGGCAGACCTCCATTGAAATCGGACAGATCATGGAAACCGCAGGCGATAGTGACCTAACCGGCGAAAAACAAAACGAAGGACGGTAAGACATTTATCTTTATCCGTCACATTTATAATTTTTGGCCAGTAATTTTTTCAAATATGTCTTTTTTATTGATACTGACGGCTGGCTTCGAAAAGTAGTGTGAAAGCTGTTGTATCGGTCTCAAAACGAATAATCGGACAATCTCATTACTATTTTATTACTCTTCAACAAAATGAAGTCGTACAGAATTAAAAGGATGATTATTAAACTTTTCAATTTCTAAATAACTTACCATATTAATGCGATACATCCACAACACGGTGTAGGCGTTCAAATATCTAAATCTTTGTCAGAAATCACTTATTCTGCCACAGTATTTACGTGTATCGGAATTTGTCGAACTTGCGGATTAAATGCATGTCGACTTGATTTGCAATTTATGGACATTTTTATTGTGAGGAATGAGTGCTTAATTTGTAACGTTACTCTGGGGACAGTTTTGTTTTTTACCGTTATGGATGGTTTACGTGGTGCTTTTTTTGGTGTGTGTTTGTTATTTGTACAGCACCATGGTTGACTGGATATACTAAGAAGTTAAAAGTTTACGCAAAGTTTACCAGTTACACTTGCTGTAGTCTTAATTCTCAGAGTGTGTGGGCGCGAACTATTTTGAGTCGCTTAAAAAAATGATAACATGTTTATTGAATACCATCATTATTGCAGAGTAGAAGGTTTTTAAATTTCGTTGGTAGATTGAGAAAGAATAAACAAGTGTACGATTTGACTTGTCTCGAAATATGCCATTTAAATTAATGTACATCCTTACTAAAGAGAAAAAATCAGCGGGTCTTGGATATGTATGGCTTCATCGATTATCAGTTTATACTTTTGCTCTGGTGTGGAATCAGACAATTTATACTATTTAGCTGTACAAGTAGTTTAGTCGCAAAATGTGAATAGTTTGTATTAAACTGTTACTGGACAAGTCTCAACAATCTACCAGGCCTAATAAAAGAAATGGTAACATGTTTATTGAATACCATCATTATTGCAGGGTAGAAGGTTTTTAAATTTCGTTGGTAGATTGAGAAAGAATAAACAAGTGTACGATTTGACTTGTCTCGAAATATGCCATTTAAATTAATGTACATCCTTACTAAAGAGAAAAAATCAGCGGGTCTTGGATATGTATGGCTTCATCGATTATCAGTTTATACTTTTGCTCTGGTGTGGAATCAGACAATTTATACTATTTAGCTGTACAAGAAGTTTAGTCGCAAAATGTGAATAGTTTGTATTAAACTGTTACTGGACAAGTCTCAACAATCTACCAGGCCTAATAAAAGAAATGGCCCGGTTTGTGTATTTTCAGGTTTCCCTTTTTTTTATTCTTGGGTGAGATAAAACTTTCAAGTACAGACAGGTAACAGTGTGTGACATCTTACAAACAATTGTGTTTCTTGTAGGTCATCTGTGCAAGACAGATCGTCAGGTACACAACTTCCTTTACTTCATCCAATTTTCATTATTCTGTTTATATTCAATCAACACTCTCCTTGCCAATAATAACTTGAAAAGCCTAAATTCTTACTAAGTGATACACCCACTACTGATCCCAACTTTTGGTTCATAGGTAGCAGTTAGAAATTTTCAATCATTTGAGTTTGATGGAGTTAGGAATGGGATATAGTCAGTAATCCTTTGATACAATGAAAGAGCACAATGTGCTGTACCTTGGCCCTTAACCCTTTAAATCCTAGAAGGGATTGAAATGTAACTTCTCCCTAAGATATCCATGCATTTTCTAGAAAACTGGTCATGAGAATACATGTACTCAAACTTATCATGTAGAATTTGTTATCTTGATTTCACACCAAATTCTCATAACTTTTTTAGGAGGAAATGTCGAGGAGTTACAGCTACATATAAAATAAAGAATTGACAATAAGATATTTTAGGTTAACAGAGTATTGTACTTGAACTTAAAATTATTGTTTTCCAAGTTATTCAGAACAGTAGAGAGTATGAAAGTTTTGTTGTATCTTTCCAGCCAAAAAAAAAGATCTCAACTAAACAGATCAAATTTGATAGAGCAGAAGCACATACATTTGTAGATCAATCAATTTTCCCTCTCTTCTAGCTGAAAATAGTCCATCTGCTAGTCCAAATAAACCTGAGCAAAAGCCTGAGCAGAAGAAGGTAAGACCAAAATTGAACAATGTTTTGATGCTATGCACCTTACATGTACTTGTATACAGAAAAAAAACCGAACCTAACATGTTATTATGTTGAGGGAATCATTCAGGAAACAACAAAAACAAGTACTAAGGGCCAAATTTCTCAAAGTACAGCTGCCCCTTGACACAACCTGTCAAAACTGGGATAATCAGTAAGAAATTTGTAACAATGCTAATTCTTAGACTTTTGAGAGGGCAAGCAAGGACAGTTTGGAAGTTTGACAATCTTGAACAATTTGTGAGAAAAAGAGGAGCCTCACAGTGTTGTCAT